ATCAGTCGAACCTGCCTTAACGGAAACTTGTATAAAACGGAAACCTGTCTTAACGGACTCTCCCCGCTCCTCCCTTCATATATAATATGTATATTCCTCTAACTACCTGTATAAAAAGGAAACCTGTCTTAACGGACTCTCCCCGCTCCCCCCTTCATATATAATATTTATATTCCTCTAACTACCTGTATAAAACGGAAACCTGTCCAACGCGGAAACGGAAAGGAAATTCCGCTCCCTATCGAGGGTTTCACCTGTCTAAGACGGAAAATGCTTTGCCCGTTCAGCCCTGAGTTGAAACAAAACTCGCAAGTTTGGTTCCGTCAGCTCTAAATTTATCGCTATCGTCTTCAGCTGGGCGAGGAAGGGGAGTATGGGGTGCAATTTGGGGGTAGATGTGACCCTAGGCCCCCAGATACCCCATCATGTGAGCCCTGAGCGATGCAGATGGTCAGTGTAGTGTGGGTGTGAAAAGTCACAACTGCCCGTGAGAGTGCTGGAGTAGCGAGCCACTACAGAAATTTTCCTGGGTAGCCAGAACCCAGAGGTGTTAAATTAGATTGACCAATGCCTGCCGCCCTGATTGTACGGCCAGCCGACAAAAGAGTTCCTCGAATCGTTGTTACAATGATGGCAGTGAGGGGTGGCCACAGAATTCTACACGACTTGTAGAATTCTGTGGGGGTGGCATTGATGGGTGGGGCTAAGGGTGGAAGCAAAGGAGATGTTCAAAAGTTTCTGTTTTTTATTGGTCCTATGAAAGGCAAGCACTGGTGGTAATTGGATAAGTAAAACTGACGCAGGTCATAATCAGACAGGAGAGGTGTGAAGTTTTGACCACTGCTTGCCGAATGGACAAGCGATCCTTGATCCCACCGGCTGGGCCCTTGAATCTTCCCCCCCCCTCCCCCCAACCTCCACCTCCTCCCTAAATTCCCCTGTCTAAAACGGAAAATGTCTAAGACGGAATTTTTTTCCCGCTCCCTTGCGATTCCGTCTTACACAGGTTATATATATA